TATCCTCCCCGTTGGTATGGCTCCTCCTGGTATCAACTCAATTGGGCAGTCATATGACCTGTGCGGGGGGAGAACCTCTGCGTTCCGTTTACTGAAGATATCAAAGAAATCATGGTAACAGCTGGGAATTTTATTTATGGAAACTTGCATCAACGGGTTAATGGGGTAGCAAGTCTCCTTACAATAAGAGGAATCTAGACTGACACCCTCTGGCGTCCATAATATCTTGGGTTGATGTAGTCTCAACCATGATAATCCTAGGATTTCCGTGAAAAGCGGAGAAGGAAATACATTGAATGTGAGATATTCAGTGTGGCTCCCTTCACAGGTGACCAGAAGTGACTGAGTCTGGTGACAGATAGGCCCTGCGGAAGAGGTTGTACCATCTATAAAACTTACAGAGAGTGGTGTTAATTTTTTTGACTGTGGTATTTTATTTTTGGACACAACATGGACATCAATAAAGTTGCCGCATGCCCCCGTATCCACCATGGCTCTAGTCGTCATCCACTCCTGGTCCCACTGTAGGGTAAGAGAGATGTACACGTAATGAGTGGATTGAAGGCTAGTGGGAGACATTTTGCAGACTTGTACAGTCTTACCTCCGCTCCTTCTGGTAACTACAGGGCAGTTGTCCACCACATGCTGGGGGGAAGCACAGTAGAGGCATAAGTTGTGGCTTCGCCTGCGGGTCTTCTCAGTTTGGGAGAGGGGTCCCCTTATGGCCCCGATCTCCATTTTCTCCTCCCTTGGGGGACTGGCTCTCCGGGGTGATGGATAACTACATGAACTGCGTTCAGCACGTCTCTCCCTAAGCCTTCTATCGATGGATATAGCCCTCTGTATGAGGGCTTCCAGGGTATCGGGCAACTCTTCTCTAGCGAGCTCATCCTTTAGTGTCTCTGAGAGACCGAGGCGGAACTGATTACGGAGACCGATATCATTCCACTCGGTCTCCCTGGCCCATCGTTGGAACTCTGCAATGAAATCCTCTAAGGGACGTTTCCCCTGTTTTAATGCTCGGATGGCTGATTCCGCGGTGAGCTGTTTGCTGGCATCCTCGTAGAGGAGGCACATGGACTCGAGGAACAGTGTATAATCGTTTAGAACAGGGTGGTCTTCCTCTATGTAGGTAGTAGCCCAGGCTCTGGGTTCTCCTTTAAGATAGGAGATCAGGGTCAGCACTTTTATCCTATCTGTGGGGTATGTACGGGGATGGAGGTCAAACATCAATCTACAGGAGTTGATGAATTCCCAATACTTTTTTCGGTTCCCTGAGAATGGCTCAGGAGGACAAACTTTAGGCTCGGGTCCGTCTCTTGGTTCTCTTGGTACGGCTGCGTTCAGAGTAACGGTTTCGCGTAACTCCTGATTCTCTAGCTGTAATTCTTGCACAGTTTTAGATAGATTCTCTACCCTCTGTGTAATAGCGACTATGTGCGCAGCAAGCTCCGCTGGATTCATTTTTACGGGTTCCACTATTCTGTAATGACTAAGTCTGGTTATATGAATCTCAGCTGCGGAGTAGCTGAAGTCAAGGGAGGTCTGTGAGAGGGTACGGTATCAGGGTCGAGCTCCAGGCATCACTCTCCAACGTTAACTGAGAGTTTGGAGCTCTACCATCATATGCCGCAATTTATTTAGAGTAGGTGGTGCACATGTGTTGCCCCAGGTTATTACAGCATAACTGGTTGCAAGTTAGGTGAGATTGAAGCAAGATCAAACAATAAGTCAGTTCCAGTAATCAGGTATCAATAGAAGAAAAAGTAACACTTCCCCTTTAAATGCTGAGACACAGGTCTATATGCGGAAGTCCATTCAGCATTTCAGTATTCTTAATACAATGTCTCTACTGAGCTGCTAGCTAAGGACAGGCTGTCCCAGACTAGCAATACTTGCTGTTGGATGTCCAAGTAAGTGGGGGTCCTCTGTTAGATGTCCAAGTAAGTGGGGGTCCTTGCGGCTTGCACGTTTTCTGGTCCAGTTCCAGGGGTCAGCTGGCGTTTCACTTGCAATAGTGGAACGCCATACTGATCTCTCTTCCGGTATTTTATGGGGAAGGAGTGTGGGCGGAGCTACCCGCGTCAGAAGGCCGATGCCCTAATTTTCTATGCTTGATACTATTTTTGTATATTTTTTGCTGTTCTGCGTGTTCCGAACAGGTAAAGAACTTTGAGGGCATATCCTGAAGTGTGCTCAGGGTAGGGCGCACAGTGGTCTGGAGATTTCTCATGTTTAATGCATAAAAATGTGATCATTCATATTACTATAAATTATCTATTCTTTAATATTTAAAATATTTACCCACCTGTATTTATCACATCAAGGCGGACATCATTTTAGGGGATTTAAAAGAGTTTTTCAGGCTTCAGAATTTCTGTTTTAGCCAATAGTAAACATCAATCCGCCCAGCTGCGTGACTGACAATCCAACGTTAACTGAGAGTTTGGAGCTCTACCATCATATGCCGCAATTTATTTAGAGTAGGTGGTGCACATGTGTTGCCCCAGGTTATTACAGCATAACTGGTTGCAAGTTAGGTGAGATTGAAGCAAGATCAAACAATAAGTCAGTTCCAGTAATCAGGTATCAATAGAAGAAAAAGTAACACTTCCCCTTTAAATGCTGAGACACAGGTCTATATGCGGAAGTCCATTCAGCATTTCAGTATTCTTAATACAATGTCTCTACTGAGCTGCTAGCTAAGGACAGGCTGTCCCAGACTAGCAATACTTGCTGTTGGATGTCCAAGTAAGTGGGGGTCCTCTGTTAGATGTCCAAGTAAGTGGGGGTCCTTGCGGCTTGCACGTTTTCTGGTCCAGTTCCAGGGGTCAGCTGGCGTTTCACTTGCAATAGTGGAACGCCATACTGATCTCTCTTCCGGTATTTTATGGGGAAGGAGTGTGGGCGGAGCTACCCGCGTCAGAAGGCCGATGCCCTAATTTTCTATGCTTGATACTATTTTTGTATATTTTTTGCTGTTCTGCGTGTTCCGAACAGGTAAAGAACTTTGAGGGCATATCCTGAAGTGTGCTCAGGGTAGGGCGCACAGTGGTCTGGAGATTTCTCATGTTTAATGCATAAAAATGTGATCATTCATATTACTATAAATTATCTATTCTTTAATATTTAAAATATTTACCCACCTGTATTTATCACATCAAGGCGGACATCATTTTAGGGGATTTAAAAGAGTTTTTCAGGCTTCAGAATTTCTGTTTTAGCCAATAGTAAACATCAATCCGCCCAGCTGCGTGACTGACAGCTGGCTCTGCCTATATACAGGTGAAACTCGAATAATTAGAGTAACAGGATCGAGAGGTGAGTGAACACCGGTATGTGTTCGCTCACCTCCCGATCTACTAAGCCGGCCTGTGACAGTCTCATTGTCACAGGTCGGCTAGAACTATGAGGTGAGTGAAAAGCACTCACCTCATAGTTCTCCTTTAAGCAACAATCCCCAACCCATTCGTCTGCTGGCTAGATTCTGCTATTGGCTATTTAAAATTGCCATAGCCAATAGCAGGCTGGCTATTGCACACTATTGAAACAGACAATTTAATTAGCAACTAAATAAATTTAGTTGCTAACAACAACATTTTTTAGTTTGCACATGTCTATTATTATCATTATATTATTATTATACAGGATTTATATAGCGACAACAGTTTGTGCAGCGCTTTACAATATAAGAAAGACATTACAATACAATTCAAGACAAGATGGTAAGGAGGGCCCACAATGTGAAAGGGAGGGGCAAGTGATACATGAGGAGGTAGCTGTGTGGGCATGAATTGTATGAGCACGTGATGGTTGAGCGGTTAGGTTGAGGTGGGATAGTCTTCCCTGAAGAGATGAGTCTTAAGGGATTGGGATAGGGGTCTATCAAGCAACTGACAAAAAAAATGAGGACATACTATGTCCTCGATTTTTATTTTTTATTTTTTCTTACTGGTTACTTGAGAGCTCTGGATGCTTGAAAGCCGGATAATGGGGAGTTTACTGTATATACAGGTATATAGTCCAATCAATTAACACACACCTTATAACATTATTTTTTATCATCTTTATTATTAAAAAAAAAAACATAACTTATTTAATTTACAATAGAAATATAGCATACAGAAAGAGCATGCATTCAGAAAATGTGAAATAAATGGAAATAGTGACTTCTTGCATACATAATACTATACCAGTTATTATATAAAACATTATATGCATATAGTTCACTCCATGGTCGGTTTGTAAGCGGCACTGTGAACAAAAATAAAAACATTTTGGACTTCTTTAATAAATATATTTCCACCAAAACACTTGTAGATATATCAGTAAATATATATAATATAAGAGCTATATACTACGGATACTATGGCAGCATAACTTGGTTAGGATACAAAAATAAGAATGTGACATAAAGTATTTATATATTTTTTTTTAACAATACATTTAAAAAAAAATATAATCTTCCATCCTGTTAGAAATCCAGGTTGGTTGATATTCAGCTATGAGCCAATGACCCACCATATCCTTACCATGTGTTTCTAGTATGTAACATTGGCAAGCTTGTGTGATGGCCGATGTACTTTCGAATATGGTGGGGTTTGGATTTTGAAATTGTGGGAAGTAAATGATCGTAAAGAAAACAAAGGACATCTCTGCTAATAAAGAACAGTTATTAATCATATGGGTAGAAGGCCAAAACTTTTAAGACTCCAGGTCTCTGAGGTTTCAGCACATTGAGTCTGATTGGGCAACCCAAAGCTGGGATTGACATTTTTGGCCCATCATTATTTGGCCATCATGTGTCTTTGTTACATTGTTCTTGAACCTTGAAGGTTCCTATATCCATTAGGCAACTTCCATTAGATATCTGGAGTCCCAGCAGGTTTAGAATAGAACTGGACTGTCTGCAGCTTTCTGCAGGTGCTGAAGATGACTTCAGGATGAAAGTATTGGCCAATAAAAAAATGAAATCGTCAAACATTCGTCAAACAAAATCAATACATCCAGCTTGTTTAGATATGTATATAGCATGCCACCATGTGTAGAGAAGCCCAGCATTATTTTTTTTCTGATGACATAATACGTTCTCATGCACTTCAAAAACTAAAAACATCCACACAATAAAATATCTTTTAACATGGAGTATAGGAAGTAATTGTTAATGTTTTCACAACAGTTCGACGCAGATGGAAAGAATAAGGCCTAGAATTGGGTGATGGAGTTATTGAGGAAAACCTCACACGGTGAGGATACAGAACGTCCTGTTATTTGTCGCACTCCAGGTCCTGCGCAGCCTCTCCGCCTTGGTAATGCTCCTGACAGAATTCCCGTATGCGTCTGCATGCCTCTACCATCATTTCCTCTGGAACGGTGAGCACGATCCGGAAGTAGTTGGGAAATTCAAAGCACTGAAATAACAGAATAAAGAATAACATGGGTCAAGGATATTGGTGGTTGTGGTAGAGGTGTACCAATGGACCTGCTGCTGATTTTGCCTTTTGATCTATATATGCTCAATGGGAGGGTCTAAAAAGCAAGAAAATGGAGATATGTCAGGCGCACTACCTCTGTATGGTGTTGGAATGATTGGTGGAACCTGTGGGTACCGGTGGTAGGTGTGCAAGCTCCTAAAACAGGCAGAGGTGTCCTGTATGGTACCATAGAGAAAAAAGTAAAAAGGAGCGCTACAACCTAACACAGTGACCGTTATATGAACATGAATGTGGGACAATTTAATAAAAGTTCTAAATGGATATGGCAATTCAATGGTAATCCAATGGTAAAAATGGCACCCACTTGATGTGGAGATGATGATTGTCCTGTTAAGTTTATAGTTGACAACTGAAGAATGTCCTGTTCTTTGATGTTGGGGGTAGTTCTAAATTGGTTTGTTCTGGCTGGCTGAACCACTCATATCTATGTAATCAGCTCGCCACCAGCCAGCACAAACCAATTTAGAACTACCTCCAACGTCAAAACACAGGACACTTTTCAGTCGTCAACTATAAACTTAACAGGACAATCATCATCTCCACATCAAGTGAGTGCCATTTTTACCATTGGATTGCCATATCCATTTAGAACTTTTATTAAATTGTCACACATTCATGTTCATATACCGGTCACTGTGTTAGGTTGTACCGCTCCTTATTGCTTTTTTGGAAATGGGAGGGTCTGCCTGCTATGGTCACCTTATTAGTTCCAGTGTTGTAATAAGAGAAGAACTGCTGGGAAAATCAGCCAGTCAATCACATGAGCAGGAAATTGCATTAGTGGGGGCTCCTATGTACACTGTGTAGGCAACACCCTACCAATGGCTGCCACTGGTTTCACAAAAGCAACATGAGCATTTTTAGGGGATTTAAAAGAGTTTTTCAGGCTTCAGAATTACTGTTTTAGCCAATAGTATGCTAGTTACGTGGAGGAGATGGTTGTTAGGGGCTAAATCACGCTAAGAACTCATCTTCTGTGCATGTTTCCAGGATTTCCAATTCAAGTCTACGGAACCAAAATTGATTCTGCCTAAAAAAAAAGCTCATGTACTTTTTCCAGCTACAAGAGATGCAAATCTAAGCTGTTAAAGGGCACAACTAAAGATTCTTAATGTTGACGGCACAGCCAGGGCCGGATTTCCCACAAGGCTAACCGAGGCCGACGCCCGAGACATGCAGTTCTGCGTGCTGGGTGGGTAGTTGTTTTCTACATTTAGCCCTACTTTGGGCAAGCAGATCTAAATGTACAGCGGGGAAGCCGCGGTTTGTTTTGTACAAGTTATCTCAGAGATGTCGCCGAGATCACTTGTATGCAGCCTGCACACAGGGGGGGCGCATTGAAGAAACTGGCATTGGGGCAGCAGAGAGAGTAAATCCAGCCTGGGCACACCAAGTTGTGAATGGGGGCTAAAGGGTACGCAACACTTCAAACAATGTTCTGTTACCCTTTAACCCCACCCCCCTGAGCTGAAATAGCCCCTTCGCCCAAAGCTTTATACTGACTGAATTCTCACCACAATGGTCCGCTGCAGAGTTTGCATCCTTGGTGGTAAGAACTTGGTAAGTGTGGAGCTTGAGGTGGGGAGGTTTGGCTACTTCAGCTACTTGGGGTTGGGGGCCAAAGGGTGACAAAACTTTGAAAGGTTCCTCACCTTTTCAAACACATCTCTCCCTCACTACTGCTCCCACCCATTCTCAATTAAAACTTTAAAACCCCTTCTTTAGTGACCAATGCCTGCCGTCACATGTTTAGGGCCCCTGCTTGTCATGTGACCACAGATATAGCAAACAAGAAGCAGTTTTAAGATTAGGATTTTTAACATAGTGATTAGTTGGGAGGTGTTTTGGGGCAGGGTGAGACATTTCTCTTTTTTTTTTTATAGCTTGCTGCAGATCAAAGTGCAATATGACTTGGGTACACATTATATGAAATGATAATAAAATCAGTGTTCTTTTGTAAGAAATTTGTCTGTAAGGACTTACTGTAGCAGGGAGACAAAAGACGGATTGCTCGGATATCATTCTTTCCGTAAAATCCACATCGCTCTCAAATTCCGGAAAGTGTTCCATATCAATCCCAACCTACAAAGTAAACAGAACAAGGAAACAAATTAGACTGCGAGTAATAAGGCAAACATTGCGGTGAATGCTATGATTTCCTCAATACATTGCATCCTTTTGTCTATGTCATGTCTCAGCTCTTTCCTTGTACTCAAGTGACAGGCCTGACCCAAGCCAGTTGAAGCCTACTGTCAGCCAAATTATTTTGTTTTAAAATATCAAAAAGGGACTTTTCCTGTGCTATAAAGTATTTTCTATGCAACACCAGTATAATAAAAATCAAATGTATTTTATTTATCACATATAGGAGTCTGTTTATATGAAGAAAAAAACTGTTTAGTATATTTTTTTGTTAATTTAATGTAATACCACATAATGGAGGTAAGGAGCATAGAAAATAAACATTGATTTCCTTGGTTACCCCCTCCACCTAGTGTCCATCATGCAGTATTACATTATCAACCTGAAAGAAAATATACTGAGAATGTTCGTTTTTACCTCTGTTCGCACGGAACAAACGATGACTGAGATTTCAGGGTGAATGGCTTTTCAATATTTTTATAAATAGACCTCAAGGTGTTACAAATCTATTAAAAACTAATTTAACAGATTGTTTTAGTTTTCGATAAAGTGGAGAAGTAAAAATATCGGCCAGGTTCTTATTCTTGCCATTACCCCATCCCTCACTTCCTCTCTCTGTTAAACCAGGTAGGAAATGGGAAGTGCAGTTATCTTCGGGACAGGAAGGCACACGTGGCAATCATTGGATTTGTAACTGTGTTCCTACTTTCCATCACCTCCGGTCCTAACAGGAAGTGAGAAGAAAATTCCCCAACAGGAATACAGACAGCAATATAAATCTGACAGAGGCTCTGACCTAGGGGTAGGTGACCACGGCGCTAAATGCATTTTTGTATGGTTTGTCCACCCCAAAGCTGATATTTCTATTTTTGGTAGATGTTGGGGAGTTAAACCATCTGACATTCTTCTCTATCTCTTGGGAACTCTATTGATGAGATCCTTGTGCTGAGTTCCCGGGTCTGCACACCAACTGTGCTCATTATGAGGAGTTCCCACCATCCCTGTGCTGAGTTCCTAGGTCTGCACACCTGCTGTGCCCATTATGAGGAGTTCCCACCATCCCTGTGCTGAGTTCCTAGGTCTGCACACCTGCTGTGCCCACTATGAGGGGTTTCCACCAACTCTGTGCTGAGTTCCCGGGTCTGTACACCTGCTGTGCCCATTATGAGGAGCTCCCACCATCCCTGTGCTGCGTTTTGGGTCTGTAAACATGCTTTGCCCATTATGAGGAGCTCCCACCATCCCTGTGCTAAGTTCCCGCGTCTGTAACCCAGCTGTGCCCATTATGAAGAGTTCCCACCATCCCTGTGCTGAGTTCCTGCGTCTGTAACCCAGCTGTGCCCATTATGAGGGGCTCCCACCATCCCTGTGCGGAGTTCCCAGGTCTGTACCCCAGCTGTGCCCATTAGGAGGAGTTCCCATCATCCCTGTGCGGAGTTCCCAGGTCTGTACCCCAGCTGTGCCCATTAGGAGGAGTTCCCATCATCCCTGTGCGGAGTTCCCAGGTCTGTACCCCAGCTGTGCCCATTAGGAGGAGTTCCCATCATCCCTGTGCGGAGTTCCCAGGTCTGTACCCCAGCTGTGCCCATTAGGAGGAGTTCCCATCATCCCTGTGCGGAGTTCCCAGGTCTGTACCCCAGCTGTGCCCATTATGAGGAGTTCCCACCATCCCTGTGCTGCGTTTCTGGGTCTGTAACCCAGCTGTGCCCATTATGAGGGGCTCCCACCATCCCTGTCGGATTTTCATTTATTTTACAATATGGAGAATTTAATAGGAGAAGATGGGACATATAAAGGGGGAAGGTTACACCCAAAACTGCTAGGTGGAGGGGAAAGAGCTGGGAACAATGACCCGCAGATCTCCCATATAACAATCCGAGGACTGAACTATAATAATATCACTTTTATAGATGGACCCTGTAAAACTGATGGGCAGATCTTGTAACGCGACCTCAGCTATGGAAATCTAACATGAAATATATTTTCCTTATTTAGATAAATGTCCCTTTATTGGCTGACATTTTATATAACTGTCACAATGTTTACCATTCAAACACTTTCATTACCTGTTGAGATCACATCTAATTATGACTTCAGATATTTTAAGACCGGCTAGAATTGCGATAAACACCTGTTGGTTGACTCTCTCATTGGCATGCATTCCACACCCCTCCTTATGTTTTATCAACATTCACTTTGAAAATATATTTTGGAAATACTCAGCAGGGACAAAGTGTGAAAGGGATAAGACCTCTGTCACCTTTTCTTTTTCTGTCATATCTGTCCCGTTGGGGAGATTTCCCTTCACTTCCTGTTCTGCAGACACAACAGGAAGTCAGGGGAAATTGCCTCTTAGACAGTTGCCACTGCAACAACTGTCCCCTTTGGAAGATTTTTCTCTTTTTACTCTTGTCACTCTGTCCCAGTGACAACTCAGAAAATTGTGCAAAAGTCGCCAGGACAAATAGAGATGGCAGATACAATTACACAATAAAAAATGTCCGATCCTCCTGCTGTTCTGGAACCACGAGTCCCATGAGGCATTGCAAGACTGACAGTTACAGGCATGGCTCTCAGAGGCAGAGGCATGTAGGGATTTGTAGTTAAAGCACAGCTGGAGGGCCGGAGTTGCCCACCCCTGTTCTAAGATTTGGGCTTTAGAACAATTTTACTAACAACATTTATTTTGAAGGTTTAGAGGTTTAGAAATTGATGTTTGGTATCATTTTTTTACATTATTTATACAACTGTATTTTATTTATATTTTTTATTTTATATTTATATTATATATTTATCTTTGCAGAGCATGCTGGACTTTCTATTAGGAAAGCATAGCATAGTCTACTTGGTTGGTGACAAGCTGTATAAACTGACAGAGCCAGGCAGTTTTTGCAAGGAGAGGGTGGTGGGTATGCCTCCTCTGAGCTGTGTGTGTAAACTGATCTTCCTGCTCTTAAAGGAGAACTATGGGGTTAGGGCATTTCCCCATAGTTCTCCTAAGGGTAACGGGAGGACACAAACTAGCGTCCTCCCGTCACCCTAAGCT